CTTGGGAGGCGAAGGCAGGAGACTAAGGTTTTAAGGGCAGCCTCAGCTACAACAGCAAATCTGAAGCCATTCTGGAATACATGAGACCCTGTTTTAAATTAGCCAAAAATAATTAAATAACCTGTTCTCTAGATCATAGAGCCTGTTGTTCACTTAATCAGGTTTGATACAATTAGATTTTTTCCATCTAATTTTTCCCTTTAGAATTTTTCTGTTTTCATGATTTCAATGTCTGTTGTTGGTCATCTATTGCCCTACTGATTTCATTTAATTATTTATCTGTATTTTCTTAAAGTTCACTGAACTTCTTTGAGGTGACTATTCTGAATTCCTCAGAAGGCATTTTATATTTTAAACCTCTATTTCTTCAAGTTTGGCTGCTAGGTTATTCCTCTATTTTGGTGGCTTTGAACTTTTTGGAGTTGTCTTTGCGCTTTTTAAGACTTGTTTTTATTTTATGTATAGGTGTTTTTGTCTGTATGTATGTCTGTGGACTACACTCATGTAGTAGTGCCTGGAGAGGCTAGAAGAGGCCATCAGATCCTCTGGAATTGGATTTACAGGTAGTTGTTAGTTGCCATGTAACTTCCTGCAACCGCATCTCAGTCTTCTGCAAGAGCAGCAAGTGCTCTTAATCTCTGATTCATCTCTCCAGCCGCATGACTTGAGGTTTGTATTTCCTACGTTCCCATGCTGCAGTACGTGTTTCTATTAACATAGACACCTCCTAAGGCTTTCTGCAAGGGGCGTCTTAGTGAGTAGCATTCTAGCTCCAATGTCACTCAGTGGGGAAGAAAGCATAGTACAGTAACAACACAGCAAAGCAAACTGCTGAAAAGACTAAAATGCAAGTTGGAAAAAACAACGGCACCCCTAATGATAGAAAAGAAAGAGCAAGGATAATGTAGGGTAAACTAGGAAGTTGAAGTGTAATAAGAGTAACAGTACTAATGGGGTTTCTTGTACCTAGTACTGGGATTTTAGTTTGTCTGTGGTTCTTGTGGAACGCCTTGTCAGTATAATTGTAGGGAAACTTTAATAATATGATCCCTTACAGATTTATCAGACAACTTCACTGTTGTCTGTGCCTCATCCCTCTTTCTCTTTCTCTATTGACTTCTCTCTCTCCTCCCTAGTTAGACCCCCTCCCTATCATTCCATTTCCCACTTCCTATTATCTTGCTCTTCCCATCTCAAGCAAATCCCTCCCTGTCTATGTTCCCTTCCTGGTTTCCTGATTTCTGTGGTTACTCCATGTTGTATACTCACATCTGAGGATCTGGAGCATGAAAAAGACTGGAACAATGGCAACATCAAGGGACATGTTAATGGGAAAAGGGAGTTTCACTGCACCTTATCCATAGATGAAGAACTAGAGGCAACTAAAAACTTCTGGAAGGACAACTATTAGCCTCTCCCAGGGATGAGCCCCTTACTGGTTGTCCAATACAAAGTGGTCAGCCTTGAAACCATTTACAAACAACAAAAGAGACTCAGCAGGTTGTATTTATATATGTATATATGTATGAGTATGTATATGTATATATGTATATACTTGTGTGCGTGTGTAACAATAATAAAGAAAATGATGGTATTGACTTTAGAGTGGGGCAACAACAGGAAGGGTTTGGGAATGGTAGCTAGGAAAGGCTGGAGAGAGGAAAAGGGGAAACTGATAAAATTCTATTCCATTTTAAAAACATGAAAATATTTTTAAAGTGTTAGTAACAAAGTCATAAATGGAAAATGCAGGAAGTAACAGAGAAAAAACAGACAATAGGGAAAATGTATGGGATGGAGGGGCTGTCCCTGACTCTGTGGCCTGCCTGTGGATCCTGTTCCCTAGCTGGGATGTCTTGTCTGCCCTCAGTGGGAGAGGATGTACCTAGCCCTGCAGTGACTTGGTATGCCAGGGTGGGTTGATACGGGGGGGGGGCTCCCCCTTGAAGGTGGAAGGGACAATGGAAGGAAGAGCTCTATGAGGGGGGTCTACTGGGAGGAGGAGGGGGGCTGTGATCAGGATGTAAAGCAAATAAATAAATAATGAAAAACATAATTTGAGGAAAATCAATGATGGATGTGTGTGTGTGTGTGTGTGTTATAATTTAAATCAATAGTCCCTCTTTGACGAGATGTAAGATGAAAATCCTTCACTTCCCACCCTAAGCCTTTTCCTTTTAAAATAAGCAGTAGGTGCAGGGCAGTGAACTATTTTCTTTCTCAGTTGCAGAGTTGAAAGCAGTGGGCTGTATTTAGGCTGAGCCACATTCCACCCTGCTGGCAGGTCTGTGATCTAAGAACGACTGCACTTAGAACGAATCCGTGTCCGTGATTTCTCTAACAGAGACTGCTGGAGCCACCCTTGAGCCACTTGTGCAGGCTAAGCCACTTGTACGGAATCACTGTCAGTGTGCTCTAGGCAATGTAAACTCCCAAGTAATGGCTGTTTCCACAAAAGTCTCCAAAGATGTGAGACTACAGAAGCCAACAAACTAAAGAAATCTATACTGGGGCAGGGGGACACAGCATGTGAGGGAAGCACTCTGAAGGATCTCTGCCCACACCATGCTTGTTTGCATCTTAGCACCTACCCCATATCCACTCAGTTGAGTTCATTCCTCTTCCAAGAGCTTCTCTCAGATGTTCCAAAATGGAAGAAATGTCAGCTTTTGTCCTTGCATATGTGAACCTGCATCTAAGTCACAAGTGACTCAGTTTACTATTGGCCACTGAAGAGTTGTAGGAACTTGGAGGCTCATAATTGAAAGCACCTCTGACCCCTAGGTTTGATTGTAAGACCCCTCTTTGTGACTCTGTGGCGCTGTACCAGTGAGCAAGTAAGTCCAGCAAACTCCTTCAGTGTTTGAGTTCCTTGTAGGTCCCAATTTCTTTCTAATTTACAGAATGCCAGGACTGTGGAGTTCCCTGGGCGACATTTGTTTACAACCCCACTGAAAGGCACTTTGCCTTCTTGCCTAGGGTGTCATCAAATGCCAATGCAGGGTTTTTTCTCCCCACACTTCCTGCCCCTTCTTTGAGACAAGGTCTGTATATGTAGTCCTGGCTGTCATAGAATTTGCAGAAATCCACCTCTCTGCCTCCCAAGTGGCGGAATTTAAAGCATGAACCACCACACTCAGCCCTTAGGGTTGTTTCTCTTAACAAACCTAATATTCAATATTTCTAGATTTCACAAGGCCTCTATTGTTGCACCCCAGGACCTTTCTATGCCACCTCCTCTCCCTGAAGACACACCCCTTGCTTTTATATAGCAGAGATGTAGGAAATGCTAGAAATCTCCAACCCACTATTTTCCTTGCCTGAGAGTGTTCTTTGAAATCACACTGTAATTTTTTTAGGCTAAAATAACATATGGAGCTGTACTATATAAAAATTACCCACATTTTTTTGTCACTTGTTCTAAAATAGCTAATTCATGCTCGCAAACACTCTCATTTCTTTCCAAGATTTTTATATGTAACCATCGCATTGATGCCTTTGATATATTTTACGTTAGGTTTCAGATGTTATGTAAAGTGGGGGTTTAGCTTCATCCACTAGCAACAGCACCATTTGGTCAAAACACCATTCCTTACTCTTGCTTCACACCTTTTCAGAAGCTGTCTCTAAATATTAGAGTTTATTTCTAGGCTGCTGATTAATATCTCATTAACCAATATGTCTATCCCACACCATTTTGCTCATTGAACTTCTGTAGTACTTTTTGAAATCTGGAAAAAGAAAATACTCTGCAAATGTTTTGCTTGTTTTAGGTCCATTGCTTTCCAATGATTTTCAGATCATCGTGGAACTTCTTTAGAAGGCAACTCAAACTTGGAGACAGGTTACACTGGATATTTTAGAGACTCACATCATCTGTAGAATACTGAGCTGTTGAACCTATAACATGCCTACTACCAGTTAGCATTTGGTCCCAAAGTCCATGACTTCTGCTTGTAATGTTTGTGTGTTAAAGCTCCGAAGCGCTATGAAAGACAGTGTCTTCAATGTACTTGCTTGGGATGAATTAATTAACTGTGCATGGTATAACTCTGGAATAAAAGTAATTATAACTGTATATTTGGGATTTTGTTTTTCAGATTTCTTGTTTCTGAGGCCAGGGACTAATTTCAGTGTTCTGAATGAAATACTCACCTTTCACACTTTTTCAAAAATACATGTCAGCTTCAACTACTTACCTGAGCAAATTATATGACCGTTTTATATACTCGATAGGCATGTAAATATGTTGCTTTCAGATCTACTATGTACTTAGAAATATGTACTTTCCCTTTATTAATACTCAGAAGATAGAATTCTCCTTCTTATACTTCTGGATGACAGTTGTTGCAGTGCACACACAATTTTTCTGTGCATCTCTAATCACTCCTCCCAAATACTATTTCTGGTTTTGGTCCTGGCAGTTTGGAAGATTAAATCCAAGGGCTTTACCATTCAGCTGCACCCTTAACCCTTAAATCCCTAATTCATGAATAACTAACACACAATTTGTTCACTCTGTGAAATGTAAGAATCCTCTCAATGGAAGTTTTCCCATACTATGTGTGTTTGGCCACATAATACTTACAAATGTTTATAATGAGGATACTCATTGTTTAATTCTGGCCGTTCTGGAAGTAGCAAATTAGAAAAGCAGGCACACAAACCATCTTGACCAAGAGAATAGTTACGATGTGGTACACAGGATGAGGACTAATATGAAGCTCTATGTGGCATAAACAAATTGGTGGTAAGGAGCAGCTTACTGGCAACCTAACTCTTTGAATAGTTTACCTACCTATGTCATTCCTGCCATAGCCACAGTACAGTGAAGATTAGATGGCCATCTGTAGGAAGGAGGTCAGATTTGGGGACGGATTTTAGTAATATTTTACATTTAGGATTTTTATGGAACATTCACATCTCAAACTTCAAAATGTAGTGGATAATAATCATATAGCTCTAACATTGCCATAAGACAAAATTTATTTGGACATTAATGGATTTATGCAACTTTAATGTAATACAGCAAAGACTGGGTGTCAACAAAAGAAAGCAATGACAAGCTGCTGCAGGATCATCTCAAGGGCATTACTTGCTTTGGTGAGTTTACCATGATCCACACGCACCATGGCCTTCAGTCCTAGAAGTTTACAATCTGATCTTGCCTATGTCCTAGAGTCATCCAAATTCTGGAGGTGAAATCACAGTCATTACATCATAATACTGAAAGATATAAAAAGAGAAGGATATTCATTTACAATGAGAAATGCAAGTATACAGGTCAAATACAGGTGTTCAGAAGACAATATTTAGAAATTCCCTTCTAAGCAGGTGATGGAAGAAACAGATCATAGGACACTGATAATCTGAAAATGCTTGGTACCTAATGCATTTTGATGCAAGAAAAAAAGTCCTTTTGCATCAACTAGATCAGATGTTTCTGCCAGCCTAAGCGCAAGATTCTCCCAGAGATGATGGGGATGCATACTTCAGTGGCTCTTGCTTTTCTGTATATCCATCATCCATCACCTGGGCCCAGCGCTGCTTCATTGCCCTTGACTAACTCTTACATTCTTTAGAAAATTTATATTGAAATAACACAGCTAACAATCCTCTTGTCACCATGCTTTTACCATCCATCAATCTTCCCTCCATCTCCAGATGAAAATGTCAGTATCAATTACTTCTTTTCCATTACCTAAGGCTTTAACTATATGTTTCCATACATAGTGGTTACAATAAAAATATTTTACAGTTGAAGCTTAAAATATACATGAGATCATCCATTTATATACTTCTTTACTGATTTTTAAGTTCTAGATGCTTCTCTCTTTCCATGATGGCATCTCACTATCACTGTACAACTCAAGGCTAGACTCAAACTCATAATTGCCCTCCTGCCTCTGTTTCTCAAGTGCAGAGATTATTATGGGTGGGTGTGTACCACCATGCCCAGCTCTCTTAATGAGATTTCTCTATAAAAATCAGCTTGCTTCATTATTTTAGTTGTCTCATGATGCTATATCATATGACAATATTATATATTAAATTATTCCTCTATTGAATGGCATTATTACAACTTTTACTTATAAAAAACAATTAATTCAATTTATTCATATATAGGATTTTCATAAACTCCACAAATGAAACACAGGTCCGAATAAATACATGTAAACATGGTGATACTGTTAAAATGCTTCAAATATTTTGTGTATAGGGTATATGTGTGTGCACATGCATATGTATATGCATGCATTCATGTGAATGTACAGTCTTCATGGTGCACATGTGGCTGTCAGACAATAATCTCTGACTAATGGTTCTCACCTTCCACCTTGTCTGACACAGGTGCGGATGCCAGGCTAGCTGGCCCGCAAGCTTCCAAGGACTCTCCCGTTTCACCTCCCATCTTGCCGGAGGAGTGCTGGGATTACAGATGTGTAGGTTCACACCCAGTTTTACTTGGCTTATGGGGATTCGAACTCGGGGTGTCACACTCATGCAGCAAGAACTTTTCCCACTGAGCCATCTCTCAAGAATTTTGACTACTACAAACAGAATGAATCAAGTGAATTTGTAAACTTGGGATTTCCCTCCTATCTCTATTTCCCAAGTGATGGAATCGTGGGTGTGTACCACTATGCCTAGCTCACTTAATGAGCTTTCTTTACAGAAATGGACATATATCAATATTTCATTGGTCTCATAAATATTACTTTATATGACAATGTTAATTTATTTAATGATTCCATTGCTGAATGGCATTGAGTATTATACAGCTAGTACGGATTAGGAAAAGTTCCACAGTAGTTGATTCATGACAGAAATGAGTGGCTTCTCTTTGTATATTTTGTTTGATCTCAACAGATTTAATCACTGTTTAACTTCCAGTAATGAATGCACAGTCATTGTTTGTGGTTGACCACATACAATCTGTCTTCTATGACCTGCCTATTCTTTGACTACTTGTTTAATTCATCTTTTACTACTAAAAGAGAAGACTGTTGGATATGTTATTAGAAATAGTTAACGAATTAACCATAATACATGTTTGTGTGTATTAGTGCAACCAGAGTACACATCAATTCTCTCCAAGTTTGTTTATGATTTCTTTCTTTATATACAAGTTTGAAAGTTTTATAAAAATCATTTTAACATAAATATAGTAATAAAAGATAAAATATAAAACATATAAAGACAATATTGGAAGCTGGGTGTGATGGTGCAGGCATGCCTGTAATCTCATCATTTGGAAAGTAGAGACAGAATGATTAGGAGTTCAAAGCTAGCCTGGGCTAAATGAGACCCTTTGTCTTAAAAAAAAAATAAAAGGAGAAAGTTTAGCAATTTTTTCTAATAAGCCCCATTCCAATCTCTGTAGATTGACAGATATAGTCTAGAGTACATGCTCCACAATTTTTGTAACCACCATAAACAGATACATTAACAAATGTGGAAGATTTTCCATTTGCTATTAAAAATGAGTTTCCATATTAGACAGTATTATGCAATATTTTCATTACTTAGTATCTCCTATGTAGTACACATAGATTTTACATATGAGCTTTTGGATATGTGTATAATAGCATACCACAGGATTCTATAATTTAACCAATAACTCTCCAAATGAAGGGTTTTGAGTGTCTTTCCAATTGTTTTCAAAAATATCCAAATATATTCTCAGCCTATTGGATCATGTTGCAAACCACATTTCAAGTATCTCCCGAAGTATCTGCCAGGAAATGGATCCCAAACTCTGTTGATACTTAATTCCCTTATATAAAATGTCATTGTATTTCCATATAAATGACATGCATGCTTACATTCTCATATATAAATATCACAGATTACTTATAAAGCCTAAAGCAATATGAATGATATGTAAATAGTTGTTATATTGTTTAAGTTGTCATATAAAAGAAAAGTCTACAAGCAAACTGATCACAGATTCATTAATACAGTATAGGACAACCACAGTGACAAAGGAACATTGTGGATCCAGGATTGGGGCTAATAGAACCCACAGATTCAGAGCCTTTACTAGAAGGCCAATTGTGCTCTCTTAAAGTAGGTTTCATAATTCATTGTCTCCATGTTTTAGACAGACTTCAGACAGAACTAGTAGCTTATTCTTTCAATTTATAAAACATGCAATGGACATATTTGATAGTTATGTATCAGCACAATTATGAGGTTATATAAACAATTTTAAAATAATTTACCTTAAGCTCTTTAAACATCTAGTATTTCATGTTCAAAAACGAATTATAAGCAGAGTGTGGTGATACATGACTGGAATCCTAGCACTTGGGAGTTAAATGTAGGAGGATCAAGAGTCTGAAATCAACCTGGATACTGTAGTGAGTTCCAGGTATGCCTGGGCTCCACGGCAAGATGCTATTTAAAAGAAATTAGACTTAAAATCCCATAGGTAGCCTAGTCACACTAACCTGATGAACAGATTTAAATTGGCTTCCCAAATAGAATATTTTGCAATATGACACACTGGGTCTTGTACTTATGTTTTAGGAGGCTCTGGGGTACTATAAAGCCAACCCAAGGATTCACACAAGCTAGGCATATTTCCTATCAATGAACTATATGCTTGACCTATAGTGTACTATTTTATGCACTAATGTTTTAATATTTTATTTTGTTTTTTTCAAAAAGTCTATTCACTTGCAAAACAATAATGCCCAGAGAAACAATGCAGAAAACAAACAAAGAAAAAAAGAGGGGGTTAAGAAACATATTGTGGCCAATATACTAGTGAAAAACCTTTGTGCATACCAAATCAATGTCAACTTACATAGGCAACATGGACAAATCAGACATTCTTCAAGTACAAAAAGTATCAATGTACACAAAATAATATCTGGAGTGAAGGAAATAGAAAAGGGTACACCTTAATGTGCCTTTCAAAAGTAGGGCAAAACCCACAAAAGCATGCGAAGATCACATTCAATGATTTTTCAAAAGGAACATGCGGCATTGACAGGGGGCATTCCACTACCTGCTTGTCCATATCCCTGTACTACTTCCTGTCTTCTTATCTCTCAGAGTTCATGTTGTGCCCTTACAACTAGCAGAGATTAGGAGACGTTACACAGTCGGTGACAAACAGGAGTGACCCCGTCTGTGTGTTTGGTTTTGATCTCATCAGATTGAACTGTTGCTCTCATCCCAGTAAAGAATGCACAGAATGCTTCTTTCTCAATCCAAACAGTCCACAGAGTAGTGTGCAAAAGCACTGGGAGGGTGAATTTCAAATTTGTCCTGAAGCTCTGTGCATTCCCAGTATGGCCTACATTTCCAAGGAGGTACAAATGAAGACCAAGTGTTGGGCATATTGGAGAAAACACCAGCATTGTCCTTAATGCACTTCGTGTTATAGAGAAACCCATTACCTCCAAAGGCACTGACCTATAGCTGTCACCTCAGTGATTATAACAGAGGTGCGTGTCCTTGGTATGCACAGAGAAAGGAGTGATTGTCATTCGTCCTCTAGAGGAAATAGTGTCTAAAAGGCCTGGGCAGCAAATGATATTTGCCTTCTGCCAAATGCCAGACATTAGGCCTGATAGTGAACAAGGACAGCTAGGCTGAGCAGACTCAGGCCAAATCAGATCTCTCATCATGAGTCAGAGGGACCACCCAGAAAGAAGCCTGCATACTAGCCTGGCCCACAGGACCAGTAGGCACTCTAGAAGCCCTACAGCAACATAGGTAGCAGATGCAGGCCAAGCAATGGGGTTTAGCCAATGGCCAGTGACATAGGCACCAAGGCCACTGACACTGGTAGCCTTTGTGAAGATCTGCACTGTATCTAATCCTGAGCGCTACAGGCATGCTGGACCAAGTGGTTCCTTTCCTCACAGGAACACAAAGAGAGATTATGATAATGAGGCGATTATGCTTGGCAGTTCTTGCCCGTGGGAGTCTACCACCAAGTCTTCCTCTTCTTTCTCATAGTCCCAAGCAGTGGAACCAAGGTTCCTTCCCTTTTCTTGTGAAAAGCACAGGCCATGTGCCAGCCAGGAGACATATGCTGGCACTTACTCTTGGCTTTACACTGGTGGGTTTGCTCCAGCTCTTGTGCTTGACTGGCTCCACCTACATTTTCCTCTGGGTAGATATAGATTACAAATCATAGCTAAAAACTCTTTCCATGTCTGCCTATTGACGTGGCCCTGGAACCTTTCAAACCTCTAGAAAAGGCCAAG